AAACCTTATTAAATTCTTTACACCAACCAACAACACACCTTTGCAATATTTCCTTCTCTTTTTGATATCAATTTTACCATTCACCGTAATATTTTTGCATGAAACCTTTACAACGTCGGCTTAATATTATGGGTTTTAACAACAGTCTCCATAGCGGGGATTTTTTTTTTCTTTTGAGAAATACAGGTGTTGTGAAATTAATACGGGATCTAAGAAATCTGTTATAGTAGACTTGAGACTCGTGATCATACATGACGAGTTCTCTAAAATATAATAATTTAAGTGAAATTTGTCACGTGGGTTGGACGAGTTCTAAATTGGGCTCGTGAAACTCGTCATGTAGACACGACGATTTTAATTAATTATTATATTTAATGAAACCCATTATATACACATTATGAGTTTTAAGTCCACTGCAACAAATGACCTATATTTCAAATTAATTTTTAACACTTATATTTCTCAAAAAACAATTCTCATTTGGATTATTTGAATAATTTAGTGTGAATTTACTCCTCTACAATGAAAAGAAATTAATTTAATTTTTATATAATTAGAAATTTTCTAACAAGACAGAATTTTAACGGATTTAATATTCTAAAATATTTTATGATTATGTAAATGAAATTAATTTTTTAGGATGCATGTAATTGAAAAATAATTTTTATGATATTTCTTTTCTAAAAAAGCAAATATTATCTTTATTAAAATTAGTTTTCTAGATCAAAATTCCTGATTCAAGTAGCACTAGATCAATTAAAATTATTCACATGCAATCTATATCTCATTCCATCATATTTTTTTATGCCTTTGTTCTTACATGTACAATTCTTAAGTAATAGATTTTGATGAAATTTTATAAGTAAAAAGTAATCAACTTGAGATCTTAATAAAATAAAATAAATTATTACACTCACGAAGAATAATATTTAATATTGTTTCAACATATCTAAGTACTTACCTCTGAATTCAATTTTTATAAAAAAAATTACAACACTCATCGAGTATGGATGAACACGGTTAATAATGAGCATTATTAAATTAATTTATTCTTTATCATTTGCCGATGGTGAAAGATGATACCGGTGACGGCGGCGGTGGTGATGGCAGTGACAACGCTGACGACGGCGATGAAAGCTTCAAAGCTATGAAAATAAATTAATTTTTATAAATTTCTCAACTTAATATGTTATCTAATTAAATTAAAATAATATTATAAAAACTAATATTTTATAAATATTATATATTAATTAAATTACATTTAGATTTTTAATTAATTTATAATTATACATTTAATATTTTATAATTTAATTTATTATTTATGCTTATTGTTGCTCATCGAACGTGACAACCCTATAAAAAAAATAGTCACACAAAAATTAATCTCATTTATATTAACTACATTAAATTTGAGTCTTACTTTTCAAGCTATCCTACTGGCTCGCTGGGCCCAACTCAATCCTTCTTTAATTCGAGTTGGTTTAATTAGATTTTAATATGATTTTAAAAAATAAATATAAAAAATAAATTTATTAGTATAATTTTTAAAAATATTTTGAAATAATAAAATATATTTTTAAAATTATGATTACATATAGTGTATAGATATTACTGTTCGGATTCTAAAACTTCTAAAAAAAATCAATTTTATCTTTTATTAATGAGTCCACACGTACCAGATTATGCGGTGAACACCTCTAGTAGAGGCATGAAGGGCCGACCAACTACCAACGGATAAGGAGGCATTGAATGGGGTGGGAAAAGGATAGTTTTAGGGAGTTCGAAATGTTACTCACAACAGATTCCCCTCTCTAAATTTATGCTTATACATTGGAATCATTCCTTTTGCGTTAGGTTTCCCACATTTGTAAAAGAAAAGGAAAAAACACATCGGAAAACGGGATTTCGTTTCCGTAAATCTGGACATTTTAGACACCGTAATTCACGACATGAAAGAAGAAGGAAAATGCTAGGTATAAAATATATACAAATGCGAATTAAGTTAGGTATAAAATTTATTGAAGGTTCTGGCAGACAGGGAGTTTGGCCCGAGCAGTAAGAAAAGAAACAGATAAAGTGGATTCTGATTTCTTCCTCCATATTTTAGTATTGCGATGTGATTATAAAATTAAATCTTGTTTTATAAATATAATCGTTTAAATTCAATTTTTTTAATGAAAAAAAAATCACCAGTAGGTCCACTACATTTATGTGTATGACTAATAATAATTTTTAAGATAAAGTACACAAATGATCTCTAATTATAGGATGTTACTTTATCGAGTTATCGGACTATTAAAAATTATAAAATGGTCCATTGACTATAGGATATTACTTTTTTGAGTCATTCAACTATTAAAAGTTACAAAATGGTCACCCAACTATGCATTTGTTCCAAACTCGTCATTTTCTGTTAAAAAATTGACGACAATATGAGTTGGCGTTAACCTGCTAACTGTGATCAGATAAAATATGATCTCAAACGACTATCATATCTCAGTCAACAAGTTAACGTCTGGCTAAGAATGTCGTCAATTTTTTTAATGAAAAACGATGAGTGTGAAACATATGAATAGTCAGACGACCATTTTGTAACTTTTAATAGTCGAGGGACTCAACAAAGCAACACCTTATAGTCAATGGATCATTTTGTAACTTTTAATTGTTAAGTGACCATTAGTGTACTTTACCCTGATTTTTATTTAAATTTGGTCTTGCAAGAATAGGTCGTCTACCTGACTCACCAGTATGATGTCAATTTAACATGAAATTGACGGATTTCTAACTTGACCCTATTGAGTCGATTTTTTTAATATTTTGAGTTTGGAGCGAGTTTGATCAAATTTTATATAAGATAAAAATAGGTCGGGTTTGGGTGGAGGGTAAAAAATCTTCAATCCAGGTGTAATAGTATATTTTTATCCTATAAATTCATTTATTATTGTTATAATAACTCTTTTCTATATAATTTTTTTTAATTAGATCCTTATTTTATGTCGTTTCGGGCCAGATCAGGTTTATACTTAAAATAATATGGTTAGATCAAATTCAGATGGAGATAATATACTCTTCAAGCCGAATCAGAGAGATAATATATGATTCTCGAGTTGAGTCAAGCCCAGTTAAACAAAAACTCGACTCAGCCCAACCCGTTATTATCCATTCCTACTCACCCGTGATTGAGTCCAGGGGTGGATGCAGAACTTCTCAATGGTATAATTTAATTTTAGTCCTTTCAAATTTGAAGTTATAAAAACTAAAGTTGTTGTGAAATTCTCTTTTGAACCCCCAAAATAATCGAAATCAGTTTAGACTGTTTAGTCTTAGTAAATAATTACATAATTATAAGTTCAAATAATAATAAAATTATATTTTAGATTTTCAAAAAATTTATTTTTTATCTCTTATATTTTTAATATTAAACGAATAGTCAATTCACAATTCGTACTTTTACATAAATCCAGTAATAAACGAAATCTAAACTGAAAATAAATAATAATTGAACGGTGGTCGATTCCAACACAACTCATCAACAAACATAATATTAATTTCTTTGCATCTTTATTCATGCTTGGCCTAGTGATAGTGAGACACCTCTATCTTGCCTCCGTCAACATTTTACAAGTTAATCGATCCCTCCAAGCAAAACTATATATATATATATATATTCATCTGCATTTACTGATTCTTGAATTTACCCCTTCAACTTAATTTTTATCATGATTTATGGTTGATAACTTAATATAATTTCCATATTTTTATGTAAATAAACGTTTTTAATTTTATTAAATAAAAGGTATTTAAAATTACAATATATGAACTTATAACTGAGACATATTTCTCTAAACATTAATACAAGAAATTAGTCACTTGAGATCATACAAGAAAAAATGTTAAAAATTCATCTAAAAACTCAAACAAAGATAAATTCAAACTGATCTAACTGCATCGACAAACGAACCACAACAGGAGATCAAACTATTGAAAGACTATCGGCAATCGTAAATTAGAGTCAAGCACCGCAAGAAAACTAACTCCGAACGTAAACTATGTATCTATATCCATTTGAGGGTCCAAAGTCGGGGTGATTGACATAATATTAAATAAGTGTCTTCTTAATTAGTTACGTCAAATCTAACATTGATAAAATTAAACGAAAAGAACAAACAAACGACCAATAAAAAATCAAATATGTCAAAAGACAAAAAAAGTGTCATGCAAATATAATTATTAAAAATTTAAAAGCAAAAAAACAAGATAAGAAAATGATACCAACGATCGACGTTCAACACTAAATTTGATACCAAATAAAGTAGAAGAAAAAAAATGAATAAATGACGTTTAGGGTTAGGTTTTCAAGAGTTTTCCACTTTTTGTGTTTTATTATTTAAATGCAAATTTTATTATTAGGTCTTGAATTTATTGTCTTTTAATTTCATATTAAATTTTAGATAAAAACAAAAGATTTATTAATAAAAAAATTATTACCCGAATTAAACCTAGTCATATATTTTTATTATTTCCATTGACCATAAATCAAATATATATATATATATACATACAGTATTAAACTTGTTTACCACCGGATCCCACAAAAATTCAAGTTAACCCTAGCGGGCATAAATAGTGCGATCATCACAATGTTTTTGTGGACTGTAAATCCTTTATATATATACTTTTTTATAGTCTAAATTTATTTAAAGATAAAATTTATTTATTTTAAATTAATAATAGATATAAACATAATTACTCGAATTCATAATTTTAAAAAATAAAACATTTCCCTACGCTACTAAATCAATTTATCTAGTATGAAGGGACTTTCCCTCCAATCCATTTCAAACCGGTGAAGATTTAATGCAACGTCCAAGTGACCAACTGTTTTTCAGCCAGCGCATCAATGAAAGGACTCACTTTTAATGTTTACCATTTACTCACCCTACCGGCTTTGATTTAAGAACCAATTTATAACCCCATGGGACAAAACCATCTGACAAATCCCCAAACAATCATTCTTACGCTTTTCAAACACAAACCATGGTTTCTCCCCAACAACACCACGATCTTGTCTACGACCTCAAGCTCTCGTCGGTCGGGCCAGGTCGCGTCACCGGTTCCGACGTGGTTCATGATCTGAGCGGCCTCGACTTAGCCATGAAACTCCATAACCTCAAAGCCGTGTACTTGTTCACCAGCCATGCAGCGGAAGGACTGACCATCATGAACATGAAAGAACCCATGTTTTGCTGGTGCAACGATTATTTCATGACCTGTGGACGGATCAGGAGATCCGAGCCGTCAGGTCGACCGTACATAAAGTGTAACGATTGCGGCATAAGGTTCGTGGAAGGTGTTTGCGACAAAACCTTGGATGAATGGCTTGAAATGGAGGACGATTCTAGGTGGAATTCGCTTGTTTATCATGGAGCCATCGGCCCCGAGTTATCATTTTCTCCTTTAGTTTACTTGCAGGTACAATGATCTTCTCTCCTTTCATAAATCTGCTTTTAGGGTTTGATCAGTTTTTTTCCCTTCCCTTTTGTGAGGCTTGAAAAGTAGTATACGTGATGATACATGTGACAATGATGGTCGCTGGTAAGCCGTATATTAGAGTTAATTTTTTGTATTCATACACAAATTACTATATATTTATAACCTTTTCAATTAATAATTCATGTTTTAATGATTTTGTCATAATTTTTTTTATTAATTTTATGTCTTGTTGGTGTCGGTGTTTGTGCGATGTACACTTATCATCCGATAGTGAGGATTTAGGGTATACACATATTAATAATAGAAATTTTTTGTATGAGATAAATACTAATAAAATTTTAACGTAGACACAAACAGTAAAATAGATAATTAATTAAAGAAAAATCGAATTTTAAGAGAAACTAAATCTGCTAGGGTCAGTCAAGTTAAGAAATTAATACATGTCTTATTTATTTACTTGTTAGTGTAAAATTCATACACTATCACGCCCATACATTTAGGGATGGGCATGAGTCGAGTTTTTGGTCCACTCGACCCTAGATTAAGGAATCCTCCACCTGAGACGCAATCCGGCCCGATCAAAACAAGATTTCACCTAATCCGAAAACCCGACCCGAAATAATAAAAATATTATTTTTATTCAAAAAAACAGTGACTTAATTGAATATATATATATATAGAGGAGTATTATTATAATTATTTCTAAATATATAATGTAAAATTATAATTTTTTTCGGGTCGGGTCGGATATTTTCACCCTAAACCTGAACCCGAATCCGATTTTTTTTAAAAAAAAATAAACGACCCGATCGGGTCGGGTCTGAACACGTCGAGTTCGAGTACCATGCCCATCCCTACCTACATCACATTAATTATTAATCATTTGTTATTTAAGTTGAAGAGTGTCTTCTATTTGGCGTAAGGTCAAATAACATAGTCCAATTTTAAAAAGGTAAGTATTTATGATTATAGAAATTATACTTATATATAAATATATTATTCATATGTATTGGAATATGTTTGAGCACGTGTATATGATTTTTTAAACAGGTCACTTGGTTCAAATGTGGAGGAATTTCTCTAGGGATAAGTTGGGCTCATCTCCTGGGAGATGCATTTTCAGTCTCTGATTTCATCAACAATTGGGGACGATGCATGGCTACTCTCAAGGCCAATGGGTCCCCAACCCTCGCACCAAGGTCCCAGACCGCGGTTCCAATGCCTGAACCACTTTCCGCCAAACAAGTAAACCATGTCGGAGACCTTTGGGTCGTTGCCAATAACAGCAAAATGGAAACCTTTTCCTTCAACTTAACCACACAACATTTATCGAACTTAGATGATGATGATGATCACGGCACTAGACATAAACCAGTATCGGCTTTCGACTCGATTTGTGCCGTGATTTGGCGATCCATAGCCAAAGTTAGGGAAGGGTTTGAGCCGCAAGTTGTGACGGTTTGTAGGAAAGATCCAAACCATGACAACAACAACAACAACTTTCTTGGTAACACTCAAATCATAAGATCGATCATGGCGGATTTCTCGGTTGTTGAATCGGATTTGAACACGTTAGCGTCGTTGATCGCTGGTGATCAAAACCAAGGGTGCGACGAAAGGAACATGATTGAAGCAGCAGTTGAGAAAGATAAAGGGTTCACGGATTATATCATTTATGGATCAAATTTAACATTTGTGAACTTAGTAAATGCAGGTTTATATGAAATGGAGTTGAAAGGAGAAAAACCCAAATTTGCCTATTATTCAATCCAAGGCGTGGGTGATGAAGGAGCAGTTTTGGTTCTTCCAGGACCGCCGCCTCCGCCGCAAGGGTCTACCGTTGAAAATGACAGCGAACGAAGTTATTTGGTAACCCTAACTTTGCCTGAGGGTGAAGTACCGAAGCTCAAGACTGAGTTAAAAAGGAATGGTTTAATTTAGCCCAAACTCAAATTATATAAAAAATATTATTATTTAAATTTAGTAATAAAATAATTTTATAATATCTCATCATGGATGATAAGTCGAGTCAAGTTTGATATAGATTTTGGTATGAAAATTTGTTAATTGAACTTGATAGATTTCGGTATGAAAATTTGTTGGTCGATTTATATTTTATATACAAGTTGTTTATAAATTAATATAATATTTATAAATTATATTATATTACTAAGATCAAAGGACATGACTAAAATCTCCTGTATGATGACTACATATGTCACACTTCTTAATATATATCATGTGTCTCTTTACATGAACCTCTTTTGTCATTGTGATGCTAAATAGAGAAACACCTTAACATGATTATCTTCGATTATCTTCAACATCTAACTCTCATCCAAGTGTCTCTCCAAAAATCGATTGTCTTCTCATTATCATCATTCTAGATTAAATCATGTCTAATCTCATCATGTTGTTTCACAAGATAATTATCTTCAACATCTAACTCTTCATTAACTGTAGAACAAGAATTATAACTATAAGTAGAAATATTTAAATCTTTTGATTATGGTGTACATTTATATCTGTCGGGTGAGGGCGACCTAACAATTAGACCCATTCAAATGACTTGACCATGAGAAAACAACTCATACAAGAAGGCGCTGCAATCTTTAAATAAATTTGTAAACTGAAAAACATTTTACTAGAAAAACAATTAGATTCATTTAAAATTAGTTTTGATTGTTCTTTTAAATAAATGCATTTGAAAAACATTTTTTTAGTAAAAAATTACTAGAAAAATAAAATAAAGTCATATATGTTGAAACTATTTGAGAGCTAATCATTTTGTAAGAATACATATCAACCTTAAAATATTTGAATCTCATCCAAATATGTAATCTTTAGAATATTTTTAATTATTTGTCTAAAATATATATTATTTTATCCCTCCTATTCTCTTATCAATATACACCAATATGTAATTATATTATTTTTAGGATACATAATTATATTTTTAGTTTGCTTTTAAATTTGATGAATTGAATTGCACGAACGAAACGACCTCGGTGATAAAAAAATTTGTTATTATTTTTTGAGGTTCCGAATTCGAACGCCATAAATATAAGGAATATGAGCGTTGAGTCTCATGACTATTGACCAGATTGTTAGTACTAGAAGAAAGGTTCCAAACTCAAATTCTCAGTCAAAAGTGCCTGTGTTCTGTTATCTAAGGCTTATTGGATGGACACAAATCCTCAATGGAGGTTGATTTGGAAGCTCAGAGTCCCTAAACGAGTCTGTGGATTGCTCTGGCTTGCGATGAATGACATACTCCTCTCATACTAAAACTGCTGTCTATGAGGATTAGCCCTTGATCCTTCATGCCATGTATGGGGCGCCCTGGATGATACTTTAATGCCATATTTTCTAGGACTTTTTTTTTAATCAGCACGGCACAAAGCCATATAACAACATTTAGGTACAAGCCACAACAAAAAAAAACAGTACAAAAGCAAAACAGCTGACTCCAACGAACGAGAAACAGCTGGAATAACATCCTCAAACCGAAGTAAAACAATTGAAAAATTCCAAACCCAACTTCGCTCACCACCAAGCTTTGAAAGTATTTAACCGCGACGCCCTATTACATGCTAACCAATCTTTCCAATGAGACTGCTATGCTCTCGTTGCCTTCTTCTAAGAGCCCCTATACACTGGTGAGATCTATTGCTTACATCTGTAGTAAGACTTGATTCGTTTATTTCCATTTTATCTAATGAGAAGCTAATGAGACAGCTAACTGCATGACCAAAATCGATTACTCATCAGATGTGACAATCTCCATTTTTGAAACACCTATAAATAGTTTGCTTAATGCATTATATAGAGATATCTACGGTCCTCCTTATACGAATGTAAGAGTTTAATGTATCGAATTCGACCTCGTTTTCATATAAAAAATGCGATGTGACACATTTATTCAAATAGGCGTACAATCAATGATGCACCAATAATGCTTTTATCTTCCAACATAATTTCCACTCAAATATTTCTAAAAGAAATAGGTTTAACTAATGATTTCACGTTTCTTCGATCAATGAGAAAATGGAGGAATGCTTTGCTCGTGTCTAAAGAAATTCCGGGGATCAATCATTGTCTTCACACGTACTAATTTGTGGAAGTTGTTAATGAAATACTTACGACCCCATACGCTTGCTTGAGCCAAACTCGTGAAGTTGCCTTCGTTGTTAGTTCCGATGTCGAGATTTCTAATTAAACGTAAGCTTGTCTTGGAGATTTCGAAACAAACGAACCCATGTGTTTATAAAGTCTCCTTAACCATCTTATGTACCTTTTGGATCTTACGTTTTCTTCTTCTTCCCACCCTGTCTCGTACACGATTTGGAATAAGGTTCCTGCTCGATGTGGGAATGGCGTCGCAGTCGCAGGGATTTCAGCCATTATTCCTCCATAAGAGATGAAATCAATTCTCGCGGAAGTTCCTTCTTCAAAAAGATTCCTCCATAGTCCTCGAAGTCCAAATTTCAGGATCGGTTTCTTCACATAATCGGATTTCGATTTGAAAGGACTGTAAAAAGGGCTCTGATAAGTTCTATCGAGTAAGATATTGGACTCATTTGGAAAGTTTCCCATGTAAAGAAGCGATTCGATCCAACTCATCTCGACGAAGTTTTTCCTCACCGATCCCAGCTCCGGAAACCATTCTTGCATCAACGGAACCACTTCATCGATGCCACCGAGAAAATAGCCACAAAACAAAAATCGAATCATCCTGTTAACCCTATAGGATTCAAACCCTACATTGTTGATACATTTTTACAGGTATCAATACTTTTTCTCCCAAATATCTATACTTGCGGCCCAAGTATTGATACATTTCTGCAGGTATCAATGCCTTGCAGACAAAATGATTAAAATATGAGATTTTGTGGATTTTAGGGACTTCTAAACATGTTCAAATGACCCCTAAACATAATTCCACCCATTGGAACACTTCATAAACAAAAGAAACACTACATGGAAACATAAATGCATCAAACATTCAACAAGAATCAAAATATAAGCCTCTAAGCTCTTTCATGCAACTTATATGCAATTCATGAACCAGTTTCTAGCTAGTTAGGCCAAATTGCTTTCTAAGGATACCATATAACACCTCTTACTCGACCTAGTTGAGAATTGAACCAACAGTTTCACATTAATTGATCGAAATAGTCTAACTTGAAAACACACAAAATCAAATATTCACAAAGTCATATAAGCCAAACAAAATTAAGGACTTGAATGTAAACCATACAAGCATAGAAGTCATAGTTCAAATCAAGCGTAGTAGAAGGACCTTTCTTAATAATTTTAACTAATTTAGGTATTGATATTGATACCCCATTTGGGTACTGATGTTGTATGAACAGTATCGATACTTTTAGACAGTATTGATATCAAATTGATATTATGACCACCAATTCAGGTTATTGGTATCGATACCAAGTTGTGGATATCAATACTACTGAAGCAATACCAATATTCAAGATCAATATTGATACCAAAATGTCACATTATCTTCTGAAATTTGCTTATGATGTCGACACTTCTTTGAGTAATATGAAATCAATTTGGTATCGATACCACCCGGATAATATTGATACTAAATACACCAAATGGTCAAAATACTCCTTTAAACATGTCTTCAACTGTTTAAAACATCACCGAAACATCAACACCTAGCTAAGTTAGTTAACACTAAAATATAATTCAAACATGCAACGGACACATTGAATCCATCAAGATTAATAGATTATCATACAATCTTGCTTACCATTCCACAACACATACGTTCACCTAAGATCATCCAAAAACTAAACATGTTCACATCTTTCATCCGTCACACCATGTTTTTCTTAGGAGAAAACATGGATCATGTCTTTACCCTTGTAGCATCATTTTTCATGCATTAAACCTCAAAATATAGCTAATCAAGTCATGCATAACATTGGGCATGGGACCCAAACCTGGTGGTTTCCAACCCGATCATGTCGGGTTTTTCTAAAAAAATTTGGGTTCAGATCGGGTCGTGTCGGATTCTGTTTTAAGGTGAAAAACATCCGACCCGACCCAACACAAAAGAAATATATTATTTTACTTTATATATTTAGAAATAATTACAATAATACTCTTTTATATATTATTTTTTCAATTAAATCATTGTTTCTATTGAATAAAAATAATACTTTTTATTATTTCAGGTTGGGTCAAATCAGGTTCGGATTTTTTTCTCAAAAATGGGATCGGGTTCAAGTAGGATGGAGGGTATATATTTTTTGGGTCGGGTCGAGTCTGGTGAAGGATGTAAAATTTTCGGTCGGGTTGGGTTGGCCGAAACCCGACTCATGCCTGTCCCTACATAACATAGATGTACAAACTCAAACTCAAACTATGAGTGGTTAAAATTACAAAGTAAATTTAGTTTATTAAACTCTTATGCTAAAATGTATTTAAAAATTAATAATAAACATGCATAGATGTTAAATTTGTAAAAAATTGACATTTTTATTACTAAATTAATTCATTAATAATAGAGAGATTATTTTGAACTTCATTAACTCATTTAATAATAGAGAAACTAAATTGATACCGTCCCTATAATAGAGAGACCTGAAAAATACTTTCACCAAAAATAATTATTTCTTATTTCACCCGGGTTGTTTCGAGAAATAAAAGCATACACCTTACTGGATACAGAATTTTCATTCATAAGATCACTTAATGAATACTTTTAATTAGAACACAAAAACTTTTCAAAGGACCAAAACATATGATATGTAATTAACAATATGAAACTGAAAGCGAATAAAAAAACTTCTGATATTCCATCATAAAAAAGAACTACAGATGTCTAATTTTTATACATTTTTAAAAAGCAAATCAATTTCCATATTCAAATTCTAGATTTCTACATGACTGATTTATGTCCATTATAACTCCAGTAGATTATAAAAAACTACAAGATAGAAAGATAGCTAACCATTCTCCAGAGATGTTGCCCATTTGTATCTTGTAGATGGGTATGATTCTGGCTATATCGGGACTTATGATTTCATGAGAGTGGATTCAGCAAAGTTTGAAGATAATATACGGTATTGACATTCGAGCTAACAGAGTGATACAGGCTGCATTGCAGTCACTTATCGGAGGCACCATCAGACTGAAGCTCTAAGCGCATCTGTTCTAAAAGTAACTTTTCAACAGCATCCACAAAAGTCGATAAATTTTGTCGAATGTTCGTGTCGAAGGAATTAGCCATTTCCTAATGAATGAAATCAAGGAAAAAGAAAAAAAAAACGAAAACGCAAACGCAAAGTAAGAAATTCATAAATTGATAAGACTGAAACAGGAAAGCTGAAAATCTTTTCTCATTCTAAGATAAATGGTGCAGATAAATGCTTTCCGTGCCTTGAAACTACAAACACAGATGACTAATACAACATTAATGAAACAACTCAACTGAACTAAGCCTAAATCACAAGGAGTTCACCATTCACTGTTCTAACCTACAAAATAAGTTTAACTGTATATGTTTTTGAGCTAGACTTTGGTTTTAATGAAGGGAATGATTCCACTTTCAGAAGAAATGCATTCTGAAGGTACTAGAATCTTCACACTGCATTTCAAAAACAAGTAAATAAATGCCACCTACCTGAACCTTGCAAAGCAAGCTCAATGAAATTCCCCTTGAATAATGATCAGAGCTCTTGACAGATAACAATTTCAATGGAGATTCTGATAGCGGCCAACCTTGAGATACCTTTATAAATGCATCAATTCCCCCAACCAAATGAGCTGCAATGGTCTCATCTTTCTCGATGTACTCAAAGCAATGCCTGCATTAGGTACTATTCAAATATAAAAAGCTTCTCTTCATGTCGATTGTCTGAGCGCAAATGATAGGCTATTTTGAAAGTTCTGAAATATTATATTAACATTTTAAACTTTACTTATGTGTCTCACCTTGATTTGTTTGTACTCTTCATGACAAATTGTCTTAAAGTACTTAAGATAATCCTATCTTGCACTATTCCCACGAGCCACTCCAGTGAAGACAATGGCTCCTGTGCCACCAAGTTAGAGGATAGTTGCCTACAGCATTACAAATTTACAATAGATAATAACCCTTAAATAAGGAATTCAAGTTGAGGTCTATTGTCATCGAACTGGATAAAAGTAATGTTTCCTGACAGGTTTATTAAGGCCAAATTAAAATGTACATCAATATAAATAATAGATGTATCATGTATGTAGAACAATTACTGGAAAGCTCAGTAAAAGGGGGCAGGAACTAAATAATGTTGAGCGGTACTTTTAGCAAAAACAAGGATTATTAAAGCTTATAGACCTAATGGTGACCGCCTTGGGAAATAGGACCTACGATGGAGGTAAAAATGGGAATTTAAAGGTTCAAATTGGCAAAAGGAAAACAGGTTGCTGCTCTAGGCCCAAAAAACTACCTGTCAAAAAACCCTGAAAATCTAAATAAAGAATTTTGGTTGGTAATAGATGAATTTATACCAGGAAACCATAAATTGACAATGCCCACTAAATGATGGATAAATAGATGGATCAAAGAGGGTTGTAAAGTTGTATACTTTATTTAGGGCAGATAGCAGCAAGAATGATAAAAGAGATGCAGGTAATTTTAGGTTTGGATGCCTAAAACATTGAAACCTGAAAGAACAGGAAAGTAGATTGTCCTTCAGACGACTTCCTTTTCAAGAAATCACACTAGGCACAACACTGATAAAGTATATTCCCTTTTATGGCCCTTCTACTACTACACATACACAAATGTACTGTATTAAACATCATTTATTAGGATTCAGCCTCTAAACCAGAGAAATTGAAAAACCAAACCTGTAAGACTTTGCAGCATCAAGTATATCACCTATGTAAATATCATTGGGGAACATCTGGACAACATGATAAGTTAATAAGCATTTCAATACAATTGAAGAAAAAGACTTGAAGAGCCAGTATGATCCGTCTTTAGAAGCAAGTACAGCTTTTCTAATGCATGTTTAATTAGAGACAATGAAAACATGGCCTCAAATTAATAAATTATCATCCAAAAGGGAAATTATATGACAGTAACTTTTGTGAAAATACTGATGACAATAAATTTTGAGGTTTTTTTTTTCATTTCCAGTTCAATTGCATTAAATGGAAAGGAAACTGAATCTTTTGGTATTCCTAAAACCATTTTTACCCTTTTCGGTTTACTTCACGTGAATATCAAACATTTAACTTCTTCTCCTTTAGAACAAAGATGCAGAAAAGACCATATTATTTCAATTTTTCATGAAAAATAATTACTCATACCTCAACGTTCTTGACCTCCATGGTCCCATCATCAATAATCTCTAGCAGCAATTCATGAGTAACTTCAGATGGCTCATCAATATTTTCAATCATTGTTTGGCACAAAACACCCTCTACTTTTGGAATATATGTCTGTAATGACAGTCTAATGAAGTTTCCATCAAAGCCAATGACTTTCAAGCCTGTTAGTGCATCTTCAATGTGTTCTAAGGCATCTAATCTGAAAATAAAACGAAATGATACAGTGGGTATAAGATAAATGGTATAAAATACATATAATTAAAGAAAAAATTTGAACTACCTTTTGAATGTAGAATCAAGATCCTGCAAAGACTTCAAAATTAAGTTGTTCTTCTCAATCTGAGTTTCTAGTTCCAAATCTGAAATGCATAAATAGAAGGATATTGAATGCTCAATGTAGTAAAATGATGTGTGATGTTTAGAACTCAGAATTTAGCATACATTACTAGCATATAGGCATAAGTAATATCCTAATTGAGTATATCAAACATCTTAGATACTAAGATAAAGTTAGAAAGATGCTTAGCAAAAAACCAATGTTACATCAGCCATCAGTTGAAACCTAATGCAATACTCGAGAAGCAAGTGAGAAGAAACAAAAGAACCTCAAACTTTTGCTCTTCATTTGCATCCATCAGAGTTGATTGATGATCATCATTCATAGAAGAGTCAAAGCATGGATCCTCTTCAACTATCTCCTACAACACAAAATAAGAAAAAGAGCCAAGTGTTGAAGTTTGGTGTTGAAGTTTGGCTTCCAATTGATTTCAAACTGGATGCTTATCAACCCATCAAGATTGGTTCACAGAATGAATTAACATAGGAGAAACAACCTGAGTTGCAATAGAATCCAATGCACATTTCAAGCCTTCAAGATTGCCTTCCAGAATATTTGATTCTGCAAAAGTAGAAGTTAAAGGTAAAAGTTAATCAGCAGAAGGAAAAGCTTACAAGAGTAATTGCATGTGAAAATCAAAGCCAAGTCAATGAAGCTTCACCTTCAATTTGATTTCTTGATAGATCCTCAATTTCATTAGAAATCTTGGCACTTTCAGCCTCCACTTGATTAAGCTCCTCTTTCAAGTATGCTAGGTATTTATCTATATGAATAATAAAGAAAAAAGCATCAATTTAGCATCAACACAACCATGCATTGATACCAATAGATCTCTTCCTAAATTCATGAAAGGGCCATGAATAAGGGTACATTACTGTCCTCCTTGGTGCCCAAAAAAAATTATTGATTGAAGCTCTTGGTCTAGTTCGTTTATGCTCTAAGGCAGCATCTATGTGGTAAGTTCCCCAAACTCGCATTTTTTGAGAAAGCATTTACAAGGAATGCTTAACTCTAGATTTAACCCTAGCGATAACATATAATCTTAGTCATCTACCTATATGTCTAATAATTAATAATTAACATTAAAATAACAAAAAAATAGTATTAAAAGCTCTTGTGTCATTCTCCCCTTGGAAAACTTGACTCCGATGAGGAAATTTTCAGCGCTTCAGCATAAATTGCTGGATTAATTTCATAATTCAGGCTCATCGCTGATTTTATTTTCTCTACGGTTGGTGACAAAAAGGTTTGTATAACTTGAAGCAATTTTAAGAGGGGTTAAGACATCCAAGACAGATGAACAACCATTGAAAGCTAAAGCTAGGATTAGAACTTTATTTGTAAGCCTAGTATAAATAAGCTGTAAAATATTTACAATGACAGAATTATTATTATTTTAATTAGTAGAGAGAAACTAGAGGTTTTATAATCCGAATTTTTTTTTAAAGTTCCACCTTCTATCTTAGTGGTTTTCAGCATTATTTCTTTTGATTGCTGCTGTTTTTCACCCTAAACCACACCATTTCGTAATGTGTTTCCTTATGATGTTTTTTGACTCTATTCTTTTAGTTTAAAAAAATACTTGCATTGTAGGCACGTATTTTTCCAATATTAAACACATTGGATGTTATCCAAAAGACGATCCTAAACTACCCACTGTGTTCCATATCAGGTTAATCTAACTAACTTTTTTTAAATCCATATTCCACCAAAAGCAAAGACTTCCCGCAAGAAAGAAAAAAATCCAAAATTATAACTAAAAATCCATACAATCGAATCAAAAAACAAAAACGAGCAAAAGTGGTCGCTACTTACTAAGGTAACCTTTTGAAAACCCAATACTCCATTAAAAGGTTTGGGGGGGGGGGGGAAGAACACTAACCCAAGGGAGAGAACATAAATAGGCATTTTCTATAAGTTGAAATTGTACATGCACATAGGCAGTTTATTTTAATAAACCCAAAAAAAATCTAAATATTAAAAGAAACATACCTAAATCTTCAATGCCTAAGAAACCCACATCAGAATACTCTTTCATAATTTGCTTCAGTTTCCTCTGCATAAATCCACTCTTAATTTATTTAAAATAAAAAAATAACCCTAATTGTAACAAAATTAAAAAGTTACCGGGATCACCTCGAAATGAGAAGGGAAATCATTGAGCAACTTCTCCGAATCCGAAGAGAGAGCTTCACTCTCAATTTCATTTTTATTGCTACTATGAATCTCAGAGAGCTCACTTATTCGACTGAAAACAATATTAATTTTTAGGGGGGGACAAAGAGATAGAAAATTATGCATGACAATTTGCTTCGCATTATTAAAAAGATAGGGAAAAACCTGCGGATAGATTGAAGATTGAGATGTTCTGATGAAGAAGAAATCTCCATTGGCTCCGCCATATTTTCTTTTAATTTTATAAATAAAACTAATCTCCCGCCTGCTTGAAATTGGTCGAGTATGTTTATTTCTGTTTGGGCTGGAAAATGGCGGGCTGGCCTTCTTAGGAATCTTGAGAAACTATTAACATTTTGATTAATTCGAAAATGACTAAATTAATCAATATTAATTTGGTTCGATTAAGAGTTTTTGCATATATTTTTTTTATTACAGATTGTTAAAAAATTAAAACTTAATTAATTTGGTTCGAAAATGAAAGTTAGTAGCTACCAAATATCATTTCAGAATCATAGTGATAGGTTGGCAGGATTATCCTCGCCATTATCATCATCATGTCATCAACATCAAAAACTTTTTAAAGTTGATGAAATTATCAATCAACAATCCATTGTCCCACACAGAGCCAAAGGAAAAGTTGAAAAAAAACCAAATCTTAACTCAATTGGACCACTTATTCTCACTAAACGGTGAAGATCATAAGAAAAGATACAGGAAAAGGATCATTTTTATTCCATAGAGCTGATCAAAGTTCCAACTACAAGTATACACAAACACGGAAAATCCAGTACAAAAGAAATTCTGTACTAATTCACTGATCCTAATGTTCCTAAATTTTCTCAACCTTAGCCTTCATTCCCTTCCCTTCTCCCCAGATGATCTGTTAGACAAAGGACTTTGATGTTTCAAGTTTGTGTAACTCATACCTCTGTTATGTTACAGACCATTAGTCTACATGATTTTTTTGAAGTCCTAATTCTTTCTTTACAAGTGAATTAATGGTGATGGAAAATGGAAACTAACACCGTCACCTTCCTAAACTTTGATATCAAGTGAGAATTGGCCAGAAAGTAAGTCCCTATGCAACAATTACTTTTTACTACGGGTTCAGTTTCTCCCATTCATAACGTCCTGGGAGCGGCTTATCATTCATGGGATCAAAGTTGTACCTGCAAATAAACCCACATCTTTTATCAGATCTTAGCCACAGTAATACCAAAGAGGTATGAAAAAAATAATGTGGTGCCTACTTCTCAATGAACTGTCGTTGTTGTTCTTCTTCTGCAACGGAAAAGAACTCATCCATTTCATGTGCTGTCGGGAGTTGCCCACGCATTGAATTATGTACTATCTGGTTAGTCTCTGTTGAGCTGGTACGCCTAGTAGTAGAACCAGGAGTTCTTATACTCTCTGGGTCCCTTATCAAGTTGCAAGGAGTTGATTCCCTAGTGCTCCTGCACATAAACAGTGGATGTTAATTAATGAAAGCTTTGTTACTCAAACTCATGTGTATTAGATATGGATATGAATCCATAAGAGGTATGTTCATTTTTCAAATTGTTTTCATGTATTTCGAGGGTCCTTGAAAAGTAATATTTTCGTACGTATGTCTGAAAATGTGTTGGGTAAAAGTACTTCAGGAAAAATGAAAAATTGTAGCACCACAGAATTAGTAGTAACTGAATCTAAAGACAAACAACTAAATCAAAGACGGCAGTAAAAAGTAAAGAAGATTACGAGTTTCTTTTTCTGCTTTACATAACACCCAAAACAGCCTTGAATGGAAAACCAGATCTCTGTCGTTGGGACTCTTCATTTCACCAAAATACCCGTTTCCGACACATTTGAATTTGGAAAGGATATGAACTCTAAGTATCCTCCAAATATATGGAGAAACTTGGAAAGATCTGGCCATACTCATTTCAGACACATACCTATATCCAGCACTAACACCCAAGTTCGGGTGACGTAGGACATAGAACCGAATAATACCGATCATTTTTATCAATGTTCAAGCAAAGAGGCTCCTGAAATTCAAGGGGGGGAGGATAAATGAAAGGTTTCCTTTGTTATCATTTTGCTTTGGATCCTATTTCAATCTCAAACATTTCAGCAAAAGAGACTCAGCAAATATATGGAATTCAATAGACAAATAAACTCATAAAAAGCCATGTTACCGGGCGATATCAATTAAAAAGAAAATAATATATCAACAGAAATGGATTTTGTGATAATTTGATTCATTAACTAAATAACTCTTGCCAGAATATCCTATTCTCAAACCACGTCAAAATCACCAAGAAAAAAAAATGAATTGGAAAAAAGCACAAAAAGATAAGTGTTGTGAATTTTTTTTATCCGGAAAAGGTCCCAGCATCCACCATGTGGAAAACAAACGACAAACAGTTTTGTTTCTTTCCATTAGAATAATGCATCAACAGACATGCCTAAAAGTACCTAAACAACATACCCTATAGTGCACGATATATATTTTATTTATATAACACACAATTAGACAAAGCCCATGTTTTAAAATCATTGAACCACCAAATTTACCGGGGTAAAAAGAAAAAGGTTGGGCCAGATATGAAAGCAGGAGTTATTAATGGCAACGGAGAAACAATGGTTTCCGTCGCAATAAGGCGCTTGTTTATCCCAAGAAGAAAAGACCAAAATTCAGAAATAACCAAAGGTTCAACAGTTAACAATACTCAACTTCTGCTTTTGACAATTATAAAGGACATAAGCTTTACTGATTTAAGCAGAAACAGATGAAAAGCCATTTAATTCTAAACAACCGATAGCAGAAATATATCAATAGTGAGATTTATTCCCTTCTTTCAACGGAAGATTAAAGCAAAACCCATTAATTAACATGTCATGTAACAGAATCCGAACTGGAATTAAGGGTCTCCCCTTGTTTTAGCTGGAGATTCAAAGGGTTCAAGATGCTTGATAAAATGAGCCCCAGTATTTTATAATTGTTGCTCAAAAATAGAAAACTCGAGAATTCAGTTGAAGTAAAAGTTCCTACTTTTCTTGAAACTTTACAGAGGGAAAAATGAGTGTTTTTTTATTTATGAAAACAGCGATAGATTTTAAGGAAAAAAATAAAAGAACCAACCTTTCTCGAGCTTCATTGTCCAAAACATTTTCTCCAAAGGAAGCTTCAATACCACCAAAATCATTGCTGTCGTTGTTATTAATAATATTATCATTTCCATTAGTCTCTTGCACCATCTCTTCTCTCCCAACGTCATCATCCTTACCCAATCGAACCCTAAAATTGGAATTAGGGCTAGGGTTTTCCCCACAGCCCTCCTCTATAATCCCCTGTTGCTTCAGCCTCTTCAAATCATGATGGCGCAACAAAACAGGAGGCTTTTCTAGCCGGCGACTTCGTAGCTGGAGATAGGAGGAATCCGGAGTCGGAGATGTAGCTGCCGTTGCCAGAGAAGTGGAGGATTTCTGTTGGCGTTGAAGCGCAAGGGTACTTGCCCGGGTTCGAACCCCGAGGGAAGACTGGGAGACGTCCATTACGGTCACTTCCATTGCCGTTTTGGTCTTCCTAATGTACTTTCCCATTATGGGTTTTGAATATGGAAAAAAAAGGGTTTTGGGTTTTGGAAGAAAGAAAGGCTTTAAGCTTTCAGAGTCTCGTGAGAAAGAGGAGAGAAAGGATAGGAAAATAAACAGTTGTTTGTTTCGGAGAAAAGAGGAAAGTAGAATATGACGGGAAAGTTTTCAGGTGAGGATATTTTACTGCTTTGAGTTCTCGTATATCTCGTGATATTTTGAATGTTCTTCTCGAACAAAACAACGGTTCGAAATTTTTGAAATTCCCTTCATGGAATCTCTTTTTTTATTTAAAAAAATCTCATACTTTTAGGATAAATTATAGAGGTATTCTCTCGACTATAAAATAATTTTTAGTTAGATTATTAAACTATTATAAAATAATTTGTCTGTTGAATGTAAAAAGAAAAACATTCTTTTATACTTTATCAGTAAAATTTTGTATTTTGACAATTAAACATCAAAATGTTACAATATAAATAAATGAATAAAATAAGATAATGCAAAATATTTGATGTGTTTGAATTACAATACAATTAAATAAAATAATTATCCAGTTGTAATATGAATTTTAACACGTTCATATTTCTACACTAATTTTTTAGTGTCTTTTCTAATTGTCTAAAATTATCAGATTGGTTTTATGTTTTGTTCAAGGTATTGGTTTGGTTTGCCTCTAATTCATTTTCTCTCTTTCCTGTGTACAGGTCCTGGCAACGATGAAATGGGAATTTATTATTGTCACAATACAAGTTGGTTATGAGTACCGTTGGCCTTAACCGCACCTACAGCATCAAATCTTTTACAACAACCATACAAATTCAAAGGGAATAATATATAAACCCAACAAGGCAACAAGCGAAGTGAAACCAGATAACAAGTTGACGACAACAACGGCGGCTGTGCATGGCCATGTTTAAGCAGATATGCTATGGAGCACCACCGTCTCAACTGTGAGCCCTGGTCCGAACCCAAAAGGACTCCCCACTCGAGCCCTTCACCTGTGGTCTGAACCCCCTCTTCTTTTGATTTCTTCCTCATCACATCCAGAATGAACAACACACAGGCACTCGACATGTTGCCGAAAGAATATGCCTTGTGGCTCGAAGCTTTTCGGGCTTAAGGGCTAACTTGGCTTCAACCTGGTCCAGTATTGCCGGACCACCCGGGTGAGCTATCCAGAAAAGGGAGTTCCAGTCAGTGATTCCCAATGGCTTAAATGCCTCAACTAGACTCTTCTCAATGTTCTTAGAAATAAGCCCCGGACATCTTTGAGGAGATGAAACGTAAGCCCCACTTCACGAAGGTGACCATCGATGGCGCCGACACTTTCTGGCAAGATCGTTTGAGCTGCTGAAACAAGTTCAAACAATGGCTTCTCAATTCCAACCACCGGGTCTGAACCAATTACGACAGCAGCTGCGCCATCTCCGAACAATGCTTGGCCGACAAGACTATCTAGGTGACTGTCACTAGGTCCACGAAAGGTAACGGCAGTGATTTCGGAAGAAACAACGAGGACTCGAGCACCTTAATTTGTTGTTCTCAGCCAAGTCCTTGGCCACCCGCAGGCCGCAGCACCGTGCCACCGGCGAAGCATCCCTGTTGGTACGTCATGAGACGCTTAACGGAAGGGCAGAGGCCCAAGAGCTTGGTGAGCTGGTAGTCAGCGCCAGGCATGTCGACGCCACTGGTGGTGCAAAAGACGAGGTGGGTGATCTTGGACTTGGGTTGCCCCCAGTCTTTAATGGCTCTAACGGCGGCTTCTTTGCCGAGGCACCTCAACCACCACAATGTCTTGCCTAGCATCCAGTGAAGGTGCCATGTATTCGCATATATTAGGATTCTCTTTCAGAATCTCTTCCGTGATACTTCCCGTTAAGTACATATATCGCTTCTTGATCATGGATTTTTCACCTGCGAATATATAAGAAGATTATTTTAGTTTCGATATACAAGAGACAAAGAAACTTACGCTTGAATTTCTCTTCCAGCTCAACCTTGTGCTCACCCTTTGTGATACGAAAATAATAGTCGGGATACGTGTTTTGATCGACGCAATTCGGCGGAGTCGACGTGCCGATTGCCAACACTGTGGCCGGTCCTTGTGCACGTTGTGCCTTACGGATTTCTTCAACCGTCACCATTCTTTTCTGTTGCCAACAAAAATAAATTAATGAAAAGAGAAGATGGAAGCAAAGGTGGCGTTGGTGATTGTATGTGTGGTAGATGGGAGAGTGTTGCAAAGAGCTTTGGTCATATAAATAAGATATTTAAGAGGAGGGTAGCTGAGAGCTAGCCTTTAAAACTTGCAATTACGTAAGGTTGAATGCCGATTGATCATGTGAATTTGGTGCATCTAACTGTCTCTCTCTAACCTAATCAAAACTATGGATAAAGCAACTTTTAATACATCAAGTTAGATAATCTTCTCAATTTATTCTCCAAATTTTGTTTTGTGATGGGTCAAAAGTTCAAATTTAAGAATTAATATGAATAAAAAATCAAATGTTAAGTTAAAAATTTATCAATTCAATAATTAAATATTATTTTTAAGTAGGTATCTAAATTATATAATTTTTTCTTTATATGCCTATTTTCTTTCAAAATAGGTATCTAATATTTCATTCCGTAATCATTTTTAAGTTGTCCGTTAAAAAAAAACTATTAGCATCCATTGACGATATCTTAAAACTCTTTTTTTTTCTTTTTTAACCAACTTGTCATTGTAAGCAAAATTGAAGTGTTTTTAGACTAATTTTTTAGTGTTTGATTTCATTTTCGCATAGATGAATTTTCGTAATCGAATTTCGTCATGAGCCACAAGGTAATATTACTCGTGGATTCCACCAATATTACTTAATATAATTATAAGTAAAGATGGATTGAAGGAAGACCGAAAGAATAGACTGAGAGAGTTGTTCTTTGAAAATTTTAAATTATAATATATTTTTATTGATAATATTTTTTATTTTTCTAAAATTTTATTCATTTTTTATTATAAATGCGAGAGTAAGGGACTGTTTGTTTACTTCAGAATAATTAAGCGCTGAATGATTCAAATGCTGAATGATTCAAATGCTGAATGATTCAGAGGCTCTGAATGGTTTGGCTCTGAATGTGACATGTTGTTTGATAACTGGCTCTGAATGATTCAGATTGTACTTCTGTGCTGGATCATTTATCACTGTTTTGCTTAATCAATCAGTATTGAATCATTCAGAGGTGCGAAACAAACGCGCTGAATGCTAAACGATTCAGCATTCAGCGCTTAATATTTATAAATTTTCTTTCTTTCTTTTTAGATTTTCTCGTAAATGAAAAGAACTTAGAATGGCTTAAAGCATAACATTCATTTATTATTATGTTAAACATCTCCAAGTGGGAAATTGTCAAGATATTCTTTAATCCTAAACCTACCATTAATTAACATTCTTTAAGTTTTTTCTGTTATGGATATGACTCTAACTTTTTTTCCCTGTTCATTAATTACTTTTAAGACGTGCTTTTCTATCGGCCAAAAACACTTATTCCCGGGCTTAGTGTAAAATGCATTTATATATGATTTGAAAAATATTTATTTACTTTCTTAAATTTATTTATAATGAATTTATAAATGTACACATGGCACAATTAACCATCTTCGCTATGCGTTTATAACAGTGTAAATGAATCGAGTTTGAACAAATTAAATTGTGGTCGTATTTGTTTGTTTATTTTTGAAGGTGTTGCTCGTTTAACGTTGGCGAACATGTTCATTGAGATATGATAAAATCTGGCTATTTGAGTCGTATTTTATGGATTGAGTCTCTATTTACATTACGTCGTCGAGCCAATGCTTGAAACAATATGTCATTGAACTAGTGTTTAAAAGCAATGGCAGTGCTAGTATACATTATTAAAATATGATTTTATCATATGACCATTAATTTTTAAACAGAAAAATACGAGTTTGGAACATTAATTGGATTATCATTTTGTAACTTTTAATAGTCAGTGAACTCAACAAAACAATGCTCTATAGTCGATTGACCATTATATAACTTTCAATAATCGAATGACTCACAAAAGCATTACCCATAATAAGGGGACTATTTATGTACTTTACCATTTTTTAATTATATAAAAATTAAAGTAGAATTAAGAACCAAAAAAAAAACATTATGAGTCATTTGGTTCACGGAATATAATATTACTTTTGAGAACAAAATTACCAAAATAGGATGAGTCTAGAACGCACGTCGCACACCGAAACACACCACTAATGTAACACATTGATGCACGCTACTAATTAAATTGTCCTTAATAAATAAATATAAAAAAGTATAATGATCTATTCACAATTAATCCTTTATTATTATTTAATTTAATTTTTAATATGAATATAATTAAATTATAATTTTATTAAACATTATAATTATTTTTAGAATTTTTATTTATTTAGGATTGGAACACTTAACTTATTTATATTCACAAAATCATCCCAACAACAATCATCAAAATCAATCTTAGGTGACCTTATTCATCGTCAGAAGATTGCATTCTTCAACATACACTACCGCCGTCAAGAAAAAAACTGGTCTTTCTCTTCCCCAAACTCGCCCAACTAGCAGCTGGACATGGACTAAGGTTAAGGTCGTGGCAGGGATTTCGGGGGCTCTGTACAAATTCGTATAAAGGGGCCCCTATTTTCTAGATATATTCGATTTTGGGGCAACAATAGTGGCGTTTTATTGACAAACGCCGCAATAGATCAATCTATAATGGCCTTTTATCAATAAAGCCGCAATAATAGTGGCGTTTTTGTGAAAAAACGTCGCAATAGGTCCATCTATAGTGGCGTTTATTGGTAAAACGCCACTATATTTTTTTTTGGGCCCCATTTTGGGGGGGGCCCTGCGCGGTCGCGCAGTTTGCGCCCCCCCCCCCCCCCACGGCCCTGACTAAGGTGCATGGCTCGAAAACTCTCATTTCTT